GCGTCACTGCCATTGCGCACCACCATCTTGTGACCGAGGTAGAGCAATGTTTTAGTGCAATGCTTTAGTGCTTACCTACACGTGTGTGTCTACAGGGCGTTTCATCGCTTTTGACTTTGCAAGTAAAATGTTTTCTTCAAATGTATGAACTCTCAATGCACAATCGGTCATATCTGCAGTCTTAAAATAAAAAATAGTTATATTTCTTTCAATTCTTAAGCTAAACATGTGAAAACTCTAAGTTCTTTACAAGTATAATATAACAATGATGGGAAATAAATTGATTTGTTCATTATTTGTTTAGATGAACTTGAGACCTTCGATGGCATTTCTATAGTGTTTTGAATTTTCGGGGAGGATCGTGGCGAGACATGATGTATTGTATGTATATATATATATATAGCGTATAATATATTATGTACAAGGGGGGAAAGTCGAACTGGTCGGTGGATGGATTCGACGAGAGCAAAAAAAAAACCAGTCACCACACATTGCTCCGACTTCCGAGAACGTATATACATTATTATATTATTGAGTACAGTTCGACGGCATTATTATTATTGCCTACCATTCGCGAGCATTGCATACAAATGGAGTTTATTCGTCCGGTCGGCTGATATAGTCACATCGATCACAATTCACGGCCCCCGTGTATGTGAAGACTTAAACGCACGCTGCGATAAATGTATTCCGCCATAAACGAGGAGCGACGTTAAATTCATAAAATGTTATAATTAAATTGGTAGCAACACTAGCAACAATAATAAATTCTTTTGGAATTAAATCAAATCAATACATAATGTACAGTTTTCTATTTAACATACCTTTCATCACTTTGGTTGGCAATTTACGTCAATAATTTATATAAAATTATACTATATTACAACATGCTATCAATATACAAAAATATAAAACAATTTGCCTACACGAATATTTTTCAAGGCGCTCGGCTGTAAGCTGCAATACTTTGATTTCATGCTCATTTTTTATTTTTATTTTTGTCATTGTCAAGAAGATAACGGTCCATG